TCTACATGCACATCTGTTACCACACAGCTGCCAAATCGTGGGCGGGATGGTCGTGGGGTGTTAGCGTGCTTTGATACTCTTGAGATTCCTCTCCATCCTTCAGATTTGGGTGAAATTTGCCATTGGACCCAAAATTTGGGGTCTTGCAGGTGTGCTAGAAGAATCATGAACACAAAGGAAAAAACCTGACAAATAGAAACATACATACATGTACACACAGAGGATGATGGTTTATTTTTCCTAAGGTAATTGGGCTGAAAATGGGTAAGATTGAAAGTAGGCTAGAGGGAAGAGTCATAAAATGAAAAGACAGGTTAAGACTTCATGAAGAATTGTGCAGATTAACCAAAGAGAAGCACTTGCTGAATAATAATTGATTCTTTATTTTGTAGATTCAGTGTGGATTCAAGCCTTTAAGCACAGAATGCAGAAGGGCCCTATATCAGCGCTTAGTCACCTAGAAAGAAGTAAATTTAGCGGACGTAGTGCCTGACATTTCTCCAGTTGTGTTGTATCCTTGGAAGTTAATGAAATCAGTGGAATTCAAGTGGTGTAATCCCCAGAACTGACTCCTTGTTTTTAAATGCCCAGCCACCTGGAGAATTTGTAGTTAATAGGCTAGGTCCTCAGGCACTGTGGGGGAAAACATTCTCGCAAGTGGTGGGCTTTTGGATCATATACACTTGAAGCAAAATAAATATAATGATATTCAGTGTGACGATTACACCAGACAAATACTGTACCTACAGATAAACATGAACAGAATATAAAGAGATTGAAAGGAATGTCTCCATCTTCAAGGCATTCAGCTCATTTTGCAGTGCATCAGTTTTGCGCCATTCTGAGGCACAGAACCTGGCAGATAGTGGTGGTGAGTTGTTTGTCAACTTGAAGTGAAGCAACTTGTTCAGGAGGGTGACTGGTGGCAGATAGGATGACGCTGTGCTTAGTGATACTTTATCTGCCTTGAGGAATTAATGAACGGAGCTCTGATAGCAAACAGTGGTCATGTAAAGTTTCTGGGAAAGGAGATCAACAGCTTCAATTTAGCTGACAAGATTATCAACTTGATACTGCAGCCTGATTGATACTCTACAGGTATGACAAATTATTCACGTCATTCTAGATAATGGTAAGTCTTTCAGAAAGGAAGGAGGGAGAGCATCTATGCAGATACTTAAGCAAGCAATGTAAAGTAAGCAAAAAGTACAGCATGAGTAGATCTTTTTAAAGAAGATGTCTTGGGACAACAGTTGATCTAAGGAGATCGCAGTTAACTTAGCACAAGTAAGTCTGGCCACAGTGACAAGCCCACTGTTACCTGGTTGTGCTTTGCCTTCCATTTCTGCCTTTGTTTTACTGGAGAAATGTAATGGGGATCTGAGCCCTGGGTTGAGGTGAGGTGGTGTGCTCTAGTGCTGTCTACATGGGATTTGCTTCATCTTCTCTGCCTGAAGTCTAAATAGGAATTGCATATAGTTAAAGTGTACGGATGAGTGCTTCGATTTTACCTTATGTTAATATAAACAATGGATTGGATAATTGTAAGGTAGAAATTAATAGCGTTGCAACTGGGATATTGGTGTAGCTTTGCTCTGCAACTGCATTTATGTGCAGGGGTAGCTGTAGTATCTCCAGAGACAGATGTGCTGTTACAGTAGCTTATGCTGGAGAACTTTGCAAGACTGGCAATAGCAAGCAGCAGTAGGTTATCGTAGCCTCGAGGTGTGAGCAGTGGTTGCTCTTAGATGGATTGTTTTCTTGTCAGCGTTTAGAGGACTGCTTTGTTGTAGGAGCCAAGTTCCATTGTGTGAGAGCAGGCAAGTGAAGAGCTTTCTTTCAGAGCTTTCAGGAAGTTGAAATTGATGTCAGAGCAAAATCTGGTATCCTTAATGAGCAGTTCAGCTGTCTAGCAGGAAGTGAGCCATGTGACAATCCACAGATAATTTAAATCAACTAACTTTATGAACCTATATTTTCAACATGACCTTACCATATCTAGTCCCCTCCCTCAACAACCTAACTAAACAAACTAGGCACATAATTCAATAAAGTAACTGCAGTTGGTTTTAATGATGAATGGCAGTTTTCTGCTTGAGAGAGTGCGCCGGTAATACGTATAGGGCTGGATCTTTACTGGATTGTTTAGAACTGTGTAACACTAATGGATTCTTTCACATTCTATCTACTATCGCATTTTTTGCAGCAAAACTTAGTGGATAGGGAGGTGGTTATTCATGACTTTTTTTATTGTTGTTGTTGAAGGCATTCTTTTTATCCTGTACTAAAAAACATTATAGGCCCTTTTTTGGGAAAGAGGGGGAGTTAATACTAACACCCCTAATCCCTTCCGGTTGTTCTCAACTGTAGCACCTTCTCAAGGTTGCTGTGTTTTGAGGTTGGTTGCTTGGTTTGTTTGTTTTTTCAGCCTCTGGCTAAAAGTATAGTCTGTTTATCTTGTGAATTAGTTATAATGTGGAAGTACTGTAGTAGCACACTGGCCAAGCTGGCAGAGTGATTACGGACTTAGCCTTAGGCAAAAGACCTCTTCCGTAACTTTAGGTTTAGTTACTGTAATTACTATCTCTGAATCAGTCATTCAGATGTGCACTGAATATTAGTTTTGTTGATTCCATCTGTGTCTCCAGTTATAGAGCAGTGTGATCAAGATAAGGAGTACGTGACAGCATCCCTCTTCAAAAACTTCATTAAAACACCTTGTTAACCATTATTTCAGGGAAATCCACTTCCAAGAACATGAATATGGCAAGACTCTCTAATCTATGCTGTGTTGTGCCATCTGTGTTGCCACTGGTATGTGTCCACATTACCAAGGCGCTGAATCCAAGCTAAAACAGTCTGCTGAGGAGTAGAGGTTATCAGTGTGAGCTTAGTACCACAATGACACGGTTATGTGGCTTTTAATCTGTTTGGAGCACAGAGAGACTTCACACCTGGAGGAGGCATGAAGCCCATCTTAGCCAGGATTAATTTGGGTCAATATACCGTGTGGGCAACTTTCCACAGCATTTGTTTCTAAGAGATTGCTAAACACACTTGTTAATTCCTGGACTGATTTAATGTATGCACTTTACAGTTTCTGTCCCCTGCAATACTATATGGAGCTCTGATGTATTGTGTATGCATGCTATCCATGCCAGAAAGCAGGGTGAGAAGCTATGCTCGGATGAGAGCAGAACTGTTTCTCTCAGAAGCACTGAGCTGGGTAGATGTGTTTAATGGTAGTAAAGCCTGGCAACCTGATACTGAGAATAAACAAGAGTCTAATCACAGTGCTGACTTACTGCAGATCTAGGGTCATGCTAGTGACTTAAGCACCTAAATTACCTACGTATCATAGAGAGAGAATAGTATCTGCAGTACCCAGCACCTTAAAAAAAGTGAAGTTAGCTAGTGATAATGCTAAAGAGAAAAATGCAAGTTAATCTGAAACAGTTAATCTAATAAAAAAAGTCATATTAAAACAAACAATGGTTCAGGTCAGAATTGTTTCTCTGTTCTTGTTAAAAGTAAATAAAACAGCACCAATAAAAAACCCAAAGCTAAGTTCCTTTTCTATCAAATGTATCACCTGACTGGCATTGGTATACAAAATTATCTTTAGGTTCTTCCAAATTTGTTTATACTTTGCACATTTTGAAACAATTTTTTTTTGTAAAAAAAGTCACAGTACCTTTTACATGTTTTGCCTTTTTAACTCTAACATAAAATGTTCATGTTTGTTTATTTATGAGAATATATGTAATTTGCTAGATATTTCCCAGTATTTATTAAATCTGCATTATAGGAATGATTCAAGCTATGGTAAGCTATGAGCTCTGGTGTTTTGAAGATGGCTTTAACAGTTCTTTTGTGAATTAACTTCCATTTCCAGCACCTGGCCTCACTGGACTTGTTGGAGGGCGCCCCAGAGTGTAAGTTAACTTCTGATCATTAACTTCTTGTAACGTGTGACGGTGGTGTTCCTACCACTCACCGTCACAAGCTTCCCCACCTTGAGATAGCAACCACAGAAGCAACTAAAGTCTTTCCATTGCACACTATGCTTAATAACTGATAACAAGACCATAGTGCTACAAGACATGTATGCAAATAGTAAAATTCTTAATTGAATTATTGAATATGAGTTATGTAAGTCTCTGATCGGCTCATGACAATGTCTTTGCTTAATGAGCTGTAGGAAGAACTTTAAATGTGAGTTTATGGCAGGGCAGTAGCTCAAGCGTGTGCCAATACATGCAGATTTCTGGACCAGATTTCTCTTATACCTGTTAGTTTGGAATATGGGCATAGCAAATTTATGTCTGTACCAGCCCACTTCACCTAGAAATGTGAGGTCAGGTGTCCCAGAACATCCCATAAAATGTTAGCATGAATCCATTACGTGAGTGAGCCGAACAGAATAATGTTGAGCATATTAAAAAAAAAAGAAAATTCCTGGTTTGATTCAGTATTTTTCTAGATATGACTAAAATCTGCTGGTGATTTATATGCTCACCTTTCCATACTTATTCATGAGAGCATCTAAAACTTCCCCATCCCTAAGCAAATATTTCAGTATGTCTGTCTTGCATATGGAGATGGGGGAAGAAACTGTAGATACATTTCCAGTAGCTCTGTGTAACTAGCCTAGGTGTCAATGTGGGGCTAATCACAGTGCAATAGACTTCAATATCATGAAGTGAATCCTTTTCAAGAAAATATTTTTGCTATTTTTGCTACTCCCCCCCAAATGTTCTTTTAAAAAAAAAACAAAAACAAAAACACCAAAATCTTATTTTCTTAATAATGAAATTTAAGGAATTTCTGCACTTCGCAGGCTTTCCAAAATTGTTTGGAAAACCATTGCTAATCATGGCTAAATAGCTTTTAATTTTCCACTTATTTGTCTGGTGTATGAATGGTCTAAAGATGTATGATCTGATGTTTTTGTTAATTTCTGGTTAAATGCATTTATGCTTGTTTTTTTGTGTGTCTAGGTCTCCAGTTTTGAAACCATTTTTCTTCTATTATCCCAAAAGCAATGTTCAGGTAAGACTTACTGCTTAAAGCCTGCTCTGTTCTCTTTGAAGTAATTTGAAAAATTCTGCTGACTCTGGCATTTTTCAGTGACTTTGAGTCCTAAAACTGCAAAGTATTCTGGTAACTTTGATTGAAAAATATTTTTCCAGAGACTAATGTTATTCACACAGAATGTTTTACAACAGTTGAACTTGCCAACTTTGCATTTTAATTGCTGTGAATTTTGAAATACCTTGCATCAAAGCTGAACTTTTCAGGTTCCTAGAATTGTAGGCTTGAATTATTTTTACTGCATTTGCAAAGACTGCTTATGAAAATGATGTATTTTTTGAAAGTTAATGGTCCCTCTTTAAAGAGAAGGCAATTGGCTGTTCAGAGAGTTGAACATTAATCTTATGAACCTGGACACATCTTCTGACTTTTGTGGGGAAGGGAGGAGGAGCAGGGGGGTGTCTACTTTTTTTGTGTATACTACTAGAAATAACTATTAGAAACAGTGAATTTCTTCTGATTCACACAGGTTTTACCTTAACAGAGAGTCGGGCCTTTTCTTCCAAATACCCTGTCTATGAAAATAGGAATAGTAATTTCTGCTCTGCCTGTGTTACAAAACCTGTAAAATTATGAAAGCCTGTGTGACTGTTGTGATGAGTATCAGGGAGAGGTCTGTGAATGAGATCGATCTCTGTGGCCCTATTCAGTTCATAACAATAGTTTCTTTCAGTCTGAGAAGTTACGGTTCAGATGACTAGGCAGTCCTAGGTGAGAAATTATAGTGTAAGATGAAATGTTGAGCTAGAGCCCCACTTCTTTTCTGTTATGCAGGTACCTTTGAAGTCTTCAAGATAAACTTGAAGAAACTGGTTTTACTGAAAACGTAAAATGTTTGCATTTATAAATGTTGGTCTCTGCTTTTCTGAATGCCATCAGATACTTAATTTATCCTTTGGACGCGGCAGATAAAACTGCATATATGCTCTTCTTTTTCAGAGGCCTTTAACTGACTTTTAGCTGTTGCATGCATCTTATGACAAGGCATCCTAATAATGATGCTTCTCACTCAGTGAGAGCTTTCTCACTCATTCACCATCCAGAAAGTGGCCAAAGGCCAGAACGTTGGTCTGTGTTGGACCGCAAGTACTGCGACAGGCTTCTGCGTAGGGTGGTGAAGGGAAGCCTTAGGAGCACAGGCAGCAAGTGAAGGGGGAGGAGAAAACAAACAAACAAAACCCAAATGATTAAATAAACCAACTTTGTAAAAATTACTATCAGTAATCAATTTAAGTGTTCTAAGCATTTCAGAAAAGGACTGTTTCATTTTCATTTTTAACATGCATTCAGTGCTTAGCGCAAATAAGCCCAAATATTACATTTTTCTTTGAGTAGTACTCTGCATTAGTAGGAAATAATTGAACATTGATTTTACAGAGGAGATGCTGTTTACTTATTAAAACTGCGCATAGTAGAAAAGCATTAAAAAAACTCCACCTTTCTTGTAGTTTAAAGAAGTTCAAGTACTTATTTTTATTGTCACTTATTTTGCTTTATACAAATGGCTTGTCTTTGCCAAGTTTAATATGAAATTATTATCTTTATGAAAGTTTAGCCTACCACTGTTTTGTTCATCAAATTAAATGTAAACTTACTAATTAGCACTGTGTTCTAGAGTTGGGAAAATGTCATTGAGATCAAATAGTAACCTGTTTTAGCAGGGAAAGCAAGCAGTGTCTCATCTACCCTCTTCAATACAGAAAATCAAAGTCCTTGCTCTAGGTAACTAATCTGATGAATGATACTCTATTAACAAAATGCTGTGTGACCTATCACTGTTGTACTGCAGTAATATTAAAGGTTATGTAAAAGTGTGGTGCAAGTGATTCAAGTCCTGGATTCAAAGTTTTAGCCATGTATTAACAACAATGGTCTAGCTAGAGATTACAGAGTAAGGAAGGTATGAATGAACTACTTTTCTAGGTTGGAAGTTCAGCTGCAAAGAGTCTAGTTGCTCTAGTTCAGCATTTGACCTAAAACCAAAAATACTCCATAAGGAGATTTTCAGATATGTTACCATTGCCACAGTGGGTTCTTTTGTTTTGTGTTTGATAACACCTTCCTGGGTGTCAGTTTGGATTCAGTATGTTGTTTGTTGTTTCCACTGCTCTTATGCAAGTATCCTGATTTTATCATCGATCACCAGTGGTTTTACAGTGCAAACAGCAGTTATTTTCCATGTGTGCTTTTTCATGTTGAAAAAGTAACATAAAACTTTTCCCTAGGGATTAAAATTCTAGTAAAACTACTAAAGGCAAGAACAGCTTTTCTGATTTTTTTTTTTAATCTTCGTCTTGCATAAGCATTGGAGGCCTTTGTCAGTGTTAGCTATTCTCTAAGAACAATCAAGAAAGCGGGCTGAGTAGAATTATCTTGCATTTGCTGACAACTGAGTGCTGATAACTGCTGTAAGCTAAGTTGGTGTATATTGTTTTGTTGTGGCAGTGTAACCTGATTTTATGTCTGAGTCTTTAGTACTGGGAGTCCTCCAATGCAGATGAAATGAATGCAGTTGATTTTTCTACATGATTGTGCTATATGATTTAACCAGAGAAACATTTGCTTACATCTTAAGAGAATAGCCCAATCAGCTAATGAAGTAGCACACTTGACTATGTATTTTTTCATATTTCTTTGGAAGGGGGCGGGGGAGCTCATCATGCAAGATGAACAGCATGGCATTTTTTTGTTTCATGTTTTCATCTCAACATAAACAAAAATATCCAGTATTAATTTATTTTTTATGAGTTGCTTTCACAAAATTTATTTGAAGGCGAATATAGGATCCAAACAGAAGTTTGTCATTAATACGGATAGTGATGTTAAGAAGAAAAGGGTGTTATATCATGGAAGAGCTGGAAGCTTTCAAGTTTTGGGATCCAACTGTCAAGAGTTGTGACACAAAATTCCATGTAGTGCTGCTGTATATAGAGAGATGGAAAGAGATTTGTTTTCCTTTAAAACATAACCAACTGGATAGAGCATTTCTTTGATTTTTATGCTTTTTTCCCTACTCAAAGATTTCTTTTAGGTTTATAATGGATAATTACTGTTATTGTGACTTTGAAAGGGAGCAACAGAACCTTATCCGTAAAGCTGTTACTGAAAATGTGCCAGATCAATACTTAATTAGAAATACGCTTTATTTATTCATGTCACACTGGATTTCTAATTTGACGGTTTGAAAATGGGTATTTTTTTTCCAGATCAGCCTATTTTTAAATGGGCAGCATGTTGAGACATTTGAGGAGGATCTTGAGTTTACATCAGATGAGGTTGTTTCATTTGATCCACCTAAGACTAGCAGTGAATTTAAAGGTATGTTCATCTTTTTATTTGTGAATGTATCATTGCTGTCTTTGTTCCGGAAAATCATGTGCTAGATTTTGTCTGTGAAATATATTTTACCTCTTTATATTTTTAAGTCCGTTGCAAAACACTTAAGCTACTCTTCTTGGAAGGAAGGAGGTTAGCATCACACAGTATAAAATGTACTTGAGAATATGACAAATATGTATGTAAATTGTTACTCAAAAAACCTAAGCCTTAGACACAACTGAAGACAGTTGAATGCTGGCTTGAAATTGAAACATGGTTTCAAAGTATACTGCAGTCTTACTTTGTTAGTCGTGGAAATAGTTGGTTTTACCTTACATCAAAATAGTTGTGTTCAGAATGGAGGACAGTCTTACAGAATGCTTAGCATTTAGATAATTAAAATTTGGCCCTATTCCATATGGCAGCCTTCACAAAATGAACAAGAATGGGATCAACCTGGAACTGGTGACTTCTAAAGAAAACACACTAGGCTAATGATCCAGCGTGATAATTCCTGTGTTGCTGTTACGCTTGTCTAACTAAATTCTCTGCAGAAAGAAGAAACTTGAGAAGGGCAAACCAGTGAGCTGAATGGAGCAGGTCAGGATGTCTTCAATGAAAAGGAAGTGTTCAATCAGTTTTTCATACAAGCTAGGTACTAGGTTACAGATTATTGAAAGTGCTAGACACTTGAAAACTTTTATGTTCTTTCTAGTGGCAGAACTATGTACAGTATTTCTTAACGTATAGCACACTTCATAATTCCCTTTTGGTCTAAACAGAATCTTTATCACCTTATTCCTGCTTGCCAGAGAAATGAGAGAATTAATTTAAAGCTGTGGATAGATATTTTCAAATCTAAATCAGGTGACTGTACCTAAAGATTACTTGTTGGTAATATTTCTAAAAATAATACTAATGCTGAAAGAGTAATTCAGGTATTTAAGTCTGTGTATACAAAAAAAATTAAAGCTGTGAAGGCACCAATATGTTAAGAGTTATTCTGGATTCCAGATACAGGTGAGTAGTACTTCTCAAAACTGGTAATAGAACAGTGTAACAGCTATTTATAAGTTAGTAGGAAATGTTCTGTATCATATAGAGAAAATCTGAAATACATGTATGACTAGTGTTTATTGCCATTTGAAAGTCTCTGATACTGGATGCCTGATTTTCCCTATCTATTCAAACATCTCTTCAATGCGATGATTCACATGTTGTGCAAAACCAGCTAAACTCTTAAATATATTTTGAGTTGTTAAGTTTTGAGTTCTTAAGTCTGTTGCAAATCTAATGTCACACCAGAATCTGTCTGATACCTGGGAGTTCCCAGGAGGGCAGTGGGGGATTTGCACCATCAGGCTGGGCAAGTTAAGGAACAGGAAGTCATTGTTCCATTTAATAAAGGGGTTAGCAAAGGTCTTGGTATTTTTTTTTTTCCCAAGGTGACTACAGTGCTGAATATTGGAGAAACAAAAAGACTCCCCATTGCCTTCTTATCATTTGAGAAAACTTTTGAGGTGCCCGACATCAGCATTTAAGTACTGAATTCTTCAGGCTTTATTCAGGCAAAACCCCACTTTTGAGGGACAGCAGAGCTCCTCTGATTGTTTCCCCTGAGAAGGATCTCTAAACTTTTGCCCTTAGTTGTAAATAGAAATGTTTTCTGTATGTGACTAAATACCTACTTCTGTGGCTTAATGCATGGACAGCATGGATGAGAAATGGACAAATGGGTTAGACTGTAAAAGGAGTAACTTCTGCTAAAACACTTTCTGTCAGCATTTAGTGAGGAGGCAAGTATTTTTCTTAGTTTCCTGGTTATCTCCAAGGGTGAGGGACTGTTAGTTGTCTTTGAGCAGATAAGAGAAATATGCGAAAATGGATTTCAAAAATGCTGCTAGATGTGGTTCTGGGAGGGTGGAATTTGAATTTACCATTTGCCCTAGCTTTGAAGGGAATTCTTTTGTAGATTTGTTTAAGATGTTTATTAAATGAAAACAATTTCCAGATAAACAGATCATGAAGGATAAATCAATTAGGGTAATAATAAATGAGAACACCAGAATGCTTTTTTGAACTGGTTTTGTTTAAAGGGAGACTGTCAGAGACTGCCTGTGTAAAATGTCTGATGGAGAAGAGACTTCTACAGCTTACACAGTTTAATCATCATCATACTTCAACCTCTGAAGAAACACTAAGTTTTTTTTCTTGAATTGTGTATTGAAAGAAAAAAAAAAAAGTCTTAAAAATAAGGTGATTTCTGTGTTATATGAAGTGTGATAGTCTTGTCCAAAATGAACAATGAGCTTTAGATGGACTTTTTCAGATCCTCTCCTGATGAAGCTGTTTAACCAAAAATAATATTCCCCAATAAAATAAATACAACCTTTAATATTTTCTGCCAGTTTTCATTTCTGCTTGCATTTTTAATGGGAGTGAACACGGAAAAGACTGTGAGCATCAAGCTCAAAACAAACCCCCTGTGTTAACTCCTTCATTGTATGCTTTCACCATTTCAAATTTCATGCTACCGTGACTAACAGTGAAAGAACCTTTTGTGTTAACTAAACTATAATCACTCTTTCAGCTCACCTTTGACAGCGATCTGATCTACATTATAAAATTTAAGTCTTAATTAAAGCAGTTTAACATTGCTACATTGTTGTTTGGGGTGTGAGTAGATGGATCAGAAAGATCTGATCCAGCTGTGTTGGTAGACGGTGCTGTGGTGACCCCCCAGTTGTTCATTATTGTTTTCCCTGTTATTGCCACTCAAATGTGCCAGTAAACCTACTCTTGTAAGTGTTGCCTGATCTGTTTCAACCAAATAAGTACCATGAATCTTAGTTCAAGATACGCTATACAAATTATGTGTCAATGTTGTAGTGAGGCATTTTTGTCATCCACAGTTATCTACCACCCTGTACCCAAATGAACTTTTGGATCTGTCCAACTACCACTGCCACAGACTTGCAGCCTCCCTTTGTGATAGGGACAGTAAAAACCGCAGCCAGTAGGACTTGGGCATAGTTTCTGTCTTACCCAGCTTTGCTGGAGCTCTTTATGTCAGCCTGGCTTATGTCTAAGGGTTAGCAATTCTCTGTGGACAGGAAGGAGTTGAAGGTAATGGTGATTTGGCTAGGGCTGGGTTTACCTCATCGCTTGACACAGTTTGCAAAGTGCTATCTATCCATGTGTTAATAGTAGGTGCACTTTAAATCGTACTGGAACTTACTACAGTGTTAATTTGATTTTAAGTGTAACTTAGACATTCATTGGTATCCTGTGGTCCAATTTAAATCGGTGTAGTTGCACTTCTTAATATAGTCTGCCTTTGGCCAGCATTCCATACGTGACACATTTAGAGCATAATATCTTTAGTGTTGGGTCTTTTATTCCCTAAAATTTAAAAAAACAAAACAAACAAAAAAACCCAATCAAAAACTCAAACCCCCCAAAAACCCCAAACAAACCCCTAAACAACACACTAATTTTATATCCTCAGCAGAAGCAATAACAATACAGAAAAAGGTAGACTGCATTTTCAAATTGCATTGTGTGTTGCAATGTGAAGTTTGTCCAACATAATTGGTTTACAAGACGCTCTCTTCAATTCCTTAAAATCTGACAGTTTTTAACACATTAGACTGAAATTTTCTGCGACAAGCATGTGCCCAGGGCTGAGCTGTTTGGTGTTTTACAAAAAAGAAAAAAAAAAAAAAAGTTTGCTCCCCAGGGCTGCCGCCAGTAGCTGCGGCACCAGCAGCTGCGACAGAAAGCAAAGCAGAAGACGGGCGCTTCCCTGCTCTGCATGTTCCCCCTGCTGGTGTCTGAGGAGCAGAGAGGGGGAGAGCTACCACTCCAGCGCAGAAGGATGAGAAAACGACAGGAAGGGGACAGAGGAGAGGGCAGCTGAGGGGTGAGAAGACTACTGGGAGTCAGGAGCCTCGATGGGTGTTAGAGATGCTGGGACTGAAAAGCCAGGGATGGCAGGACAGCTCATATGGCTGTAGGGGAGTTGGATCAGAAGCAAAACTGGCTGGGAATTACTAGAATCTTGCCACCTAAAAACTGGGATATAACCTGCGCTTCCAGTTTCAGTATTATGCTCCTATCAGCGACTAACTGAAACTCGGTGGCAAAGCTGAGTGTTTCATCTCTCCCTTTGGGGAACAGAAACTAGGCGGTGAGGGTCTACTACTCTTGCTAATCGATGATTGCAGGAGGTCTGTGCCGTGTAACTTAACCATCAAACCTCGCATATAAACTGTGTGGATCACACATTTCTGGATTTGGGCAGGAGTGGGTTTGATTTTTTTTTTTTGTATGTAGATGGATAAACATAACACTTAATATGAACTTTGTTCAATGAAGTGTAACAATCTTCATGTTCCCAAAGGCTTGAAAGTCCAATACTCGGACATTGACAAGTTAAAAAAAATAAGATTGGCTTCTATAGAGCATGCATTTATGACGGTTTATGACCTTTTCTTAAATAATACTAAGATATTTACAAAATTAGTAATTTGAAAAAGAAACCTTGTGTTTCTTCTATGCAGCTGAATGAGTAACTGTTACAACTCTGTATGAAAGTGAGAAACATATGTTGTCTTGAAAAGGAATTCTAAATTGTGACTGTTTTCTACAGACATTATCAGAATAAACAGACATTACAGAATTATCAGGACAGTAGCAACTACATGGATTTTCCACCTGTACTGGAAGCAAAGAGATCTGTGTGTTAAGGGGACAAAAGTTGTCAGCTAGTCAAGAAAAGACAAATATGTCATTTGTCATATGGAAGCTATGCTTCCTTCAGAGATACCACATTGCTAAGACCAAGATAAATTTTCATATTCAAGGGTGCTGGAAGAGGGTATGCCTGCCACAGCATTTGGCTGTAAAAAGGTAAAAGGGATTTGGGAGACGGAGCAGGAGGGATCAATATTGTCATTTTGGCCCCCAGCCTCACCTCTTGTTCTCTGGGTGTTCCTGTGGGAAGAAAGCATTGGAAAAGTTTTCAGGAGTGCTGTGGACAGCGCAGAAAGTACACGCTTAAAGTGACAGTTATTTCTTCAAAACGTGCTATTATTTGTAGCTATCATTAAAATGTATTCATTTTTATATTGTATAGATCTGCCAAGTGGTCCACATACTTACCGCTTAGAAGATCTTGCCTATACTAGAAGTGGAGACAAAGGCAACTCTGCAAACATAGGTATTTTTCTTTTTCTTGCTTTCTGAAGTGATGTAAGATTCTTAAATAAGAGTTATGTATCAAGTGCTCTTAATTTTTTGGAAATATCTTGCATCACTTGATTTTTTTTTTTTTTAATTGTCTCTGTGCTGAAACAAAAAATAATCCATACAAAACAAGCATTTTACTAATGAAATATCTGTAGCTTTCTGTTTAGCAGCTGTTGAAATCTGAGGTACTGAGAAGAAATTTATTGCATGTCATACTACAAAGATCGATCTTTGTTTAGGGTTGCAAAGTTGAGCTCCCCAAAGTTAAGAAATGCCTTTTGGAGGTTTTCTTTACACATTAGTTGCTACTTCTTCGTGTGTGTGTGTTATGTAATATAATCTCTTGGTTGTCTGGTCATGTGTAATTATTTCCATACATGAATTTTGTAGCATGTACATGACTGAAACATTGACAGTGTTAGGAAGAAATACCAAAGTCGTTCTTGCATGTAAGAGAATGTTTTTGATTATATTGTTAATCCAAATGGTATATTTCAGTGTACGGTCTCTTTACATTGATTGTTCTGCTTCTTGCATTGTTTAATAATTCCTTCTATTCCTTACTTCTGCATGCAACAATTGGCTCTCTTGTTGGAAGATGAGAGCGTGTGGTGTTCAAAGCTCAGTATGAATTAAAGGTGCGTTTGGGATTTGATTTGCTATTAGTTGTCGTGCTGAAACTGATGAATTTTGTTCATTTGTATTTAGGAATGTAGTTTTCTTGTCCTTGTTTGTGAAACTGTTTTTTGGGTTGAAGAATGAAGGAATGTTGTGGTGTGGGGTTTTTTTTTTTTTTTCTTCCTTTCCCCATGGTTGACCACTGTTGCAAATCAGGAATGATACATAACTAACAGACTTCCTCAGATATAAAAACGCTACTGCTTTATTAAGGAACAACAACAAACTTGACGTCTAAGATTAATTTAGTTTTGAAGTCCACAGACAAAAAGATCCCTGTGACACAAATCTGCTTTCCTGATCCTGCTATGGAACCTCAGCTTTGCATAAAGTTACCTGAAGCATATGAAAGCGTACTAACAGCAATAAAAATGTAATTATGATTTCTTACGCTTACGTCGGGACCTCATGCAAGGAGTGGGGCAAGGACAAAACCTTCAGTTACTGGTCATGCCTTGTTAGGGTTAACTGTGGTTACTTGTTTAAGTCTTGCAAACCATTTAGGGGAAGACAACTGCATGTGGGTTGTTTGTTGCAACGTTGTTGTTGTTCTTCAGGTGTCTTCAGTGGCAGGGACTTGTTGCAGCCAGAAAAAGTCCAATAATCACTTAGTTCGGGAGCATTCGTTCATGTCATGCTCCACACTACCTCCCTACTGACAGGGGGAAAGCTGTCATACTACTGTTTTTTATTCAGGAGCTCATTAAAGAGGATCCATATGTACAGTTTCAGTTAAGAGGAGGACCTCAAACCAGTTTTGAAAGGATAAATACAACTTGGTTTTAACAGCTCCTATTCCAACTAACGCCAGATATGCCTAACAGGTGTGATAGCACGGCATCCCCTCTACTATCCATACCTAAAGAAAACTTTAACTGCTCAAGCCCTGGAGAATTACTTCCAACACCTTTTAGAGCAAGAAAAACCTGAAGAACAGCTAGTAACAAGGTGAGTATCTTGCTGCTCAGTCCACAGTTGTATGATACCAGTAAGTTATCTTGAGGTATGTTAACAAAAATATTGCAAACCTGTGTGTATTGTCTTCGATATTTTTTTAATGTATGTTTGTCTTTTTAAATAACAACTTGAGCAATAGTCATTGAAAAAGAACATGAACTTGGGCCTCCCCTGAAGTTGGACAAAGGCAGTGAATCTGTTTAGTGAAGGCATTTAAATTCCCAGAATTGGAATATTAGTTTTGGTGCTATTTCTTTGTTTTGTTCCAGTACAGAATGTCTCTACAAAATAGAAATAACTTCTAATGCCCTTTGAGAAATGTATCTTTCGATTGGTCTTAAACCATTTGGAGGCTGCAGGAGCCTTAGTAACTGAAGCTTCCCAAGCCTCAGGACCACTGCACATCTGGGAGTTTGAAATCCCTGAAACACCACCAGAAAGACGTTCACACAGCCAGTAATAGACTGGAGCCCAAACTTACCTGATCTTCCATCAGAAACATGCCTTATCCTATCTATATCTCTGCAAAACATTTTAATCTTTATGAATTTCTCTCACTTGAGAGAAAGTATTCCTTCAAGTACCCCACTCTCACCCACTTTTTTGCCCCATATACCAAACCAGAATTTGAAGAAAAAAACACTGCTAATTTCCCTTTTTAAAATGTGAAAGAATACATCCTAAGCAGGACACTTTTACCTGGTATTCATCTACAAAAGAATATCCTCTGCCAGCAGACAGCATGCATAACATTTTTGTTTTCATGGTATGTTCATCTGATGCTTAGGGTCCTTCTGGGGACTGGCAAATGAGACATACACTGTTCTTGCAGCATGAGGTAAATAGGGCTCATTCTTCTAAGGATGTCCAATGAAACAGTCAACAGATTTTAAACCTTCATCTCTCTTTAAAAACAAACAAAAGTTTAATATTGCAACAAACCATTCGTCTTCTAAAACCTGTTTTGATAGAGTCAATTTTTCTGCAAATATGGAGATGCTGCCAAAATCATTATATATTTCCATAGGTGTCTTTTTGCTTGTTCAAAGACCTTGAGTCAGAAAGGTGCAGCTCAAAGCTCAGAGAGAGACTGGAGTTATTTTAACCCCTGATCTTTGTGTTAAGTGTTGTTCTTTGTCTTCCTCCCAAGTGGCTCACTGCAGATCTCACCCACTGTTTCATAAGTGCTAACAAATCTGTGTATCTAATAAATTGTGATACCAAGAAATGTAATTGAATTTCCTCACAACAGAGCAGAGAAGGGAAGAAATGAAAAATGTCATGCCTCCTAATGATACTTTTAGAAATTGATTCATTGTCGTTCCTTAATGCTGTTTATGTTCATAAATAAAAGTTGAAATTTGCTGTGTCTGGATGAAGCCAGTTTATTTTGATTAATTAGATTATCTGTTCCTGGGTTTGGCTTCCTTTAATGATGTGATAATGGAGCTCTGTGAGTGAATTGAAAAACTACTGGGGAAAAAGAATAAATCCTTTTGTGGAAATATTTAGGATTATAAGGATTATGCTCATGTGCTTCAGATTGTATAGTTTCTTTTTAAATTACTTGTTTGTTTTTTTGCTTTAACTGTCATAAAGAGAGCTACCTTACTTTTTTGTTCTCCTTCATTTCCTTTATTTAAATTGTGAGTGGTTAAAAAATATGTATTAGTTTTGCTACTGAAAACTTACCAACCATGGCTCTGCCTCACCACAGAACTGAGATTATCAACCAGTTGCCTTTCATTCTTTTTCATTAAAGCGATTAAATAGGTGTACTAAACAGCAAAGGTGGGATTATTTTGATAGAGAACACTTAACAACTCATAAAGTTCAGATTTTCAGGTAACATAGTAACAAAAGAGGGTCTTTAAAATCCCTCCCCTCCATACCCCCAGGCCTATGTGATTGCTTCCCCCCC